TATTATATTATATTATATTATATTATATTATATTATATTATATTATATTATATTATATTATATTATATTATATTATATTATATTATATTATATTATATTATATGTATTATATTATATTGTATTATATTGTATGTATCATATTGTATGTATGTATTATATGTATATATTGTATATATATATTGTTCTCAGAGTTGTACGAAGCAACGAAGCAAGGAGTACGAAGGGGGCGCTGCATGCAGTTTGTTATCAAACACGATGACGCGATGACACCCGGGCCGTAGAAATAAGAAATAGTAATATTAGTATATATAGATTATAGTAGATAGTCGTGCATCTATGCATTTCTGGGATGGCACATGTTTCATTGAACGCAGAGTATGAAGCCAGAGAGCCGCTTCTAGCGGCTGTAGACGAAAGTGAACATGAAGAAGGTTAGACGTGTTTACAATCTCGTAATTTTATAGCCAAGAAACGGTATTCTAACCCTAGCAATACCGTTTCTTGGAGCTAGTAATTTTATAACAATTCATCTCTTCAAGATCTCTTTACTTTAGTTTACGTACATCATTTAGTATTTACATGGAGTCCATGCCCCATGGGGGCGACAGCATCAGAGTACACCACATGAGCATGAGAAATCTGGCAAAGTGGCAGCTACTGAGCTAGGTTTATTCTAGCTCTAGTACTATAGCCGCTTACATTAACTGCCGCTGGCCAGCTGGCTGCCGCTGCCAGCGGCATTTAATGTAAGCGGGCTATAGTACTAGAGCTAGGTTTATTCTAGTCCGCAAATGCAGACGTAAACTCCGCTTTGCTAATCTGAGGGTGCGGGTTTATCCATTACTGGGGTCTGCGTCGGCTCGGACTAGGTTTATTCCATCGCTGTGGCCCATGGCCATGCCCATGGTACAAAAGGACATTTTTGTGCATTTCTGTTCCCCCTAGCCCTAAATCATATATATATATATATCATGGCAGAGGTTGCTCTGCCTTTGGTTCATGGATAATGATATAACTATAAGTATAAGTGCTGACCACATTTCATTTTCCCAATGTGCGACCTGTGCAAATGTGCAGATGTGGACAGCTCTTATATCCTTGGGCCGAATGTGCTGGCTGGATAATGTGGTCAGAGTTCAATGATACTTATTGCCGCTGTACAATTTTACATTAAAATGGCAATATGGCCACCCTACACATTGGCGTATCCAGGAATGGGCAATGCGGCATCACCGTGGTGAAAGGGATATGTGGAGGAGTGTTGTAATTAGGGGGGCCGGGGGGCAAGGGCCAAAGGTTTGATAGCGGGTAGGGGGAATATTCCCCTCTTATCTTATGGTATAGGTTGAAATGTGGCATTATGGCACAAATGATAACGGCTGGACCTTAATATGCTCTTGATATTGGGTATATAGTATAGTGATGTCCCGATGATCGATTATAATCGAAAATCAATCGATTATAGTCTCAAATTCGATAATCGATTATGAAAACAAATAATCGATTATCAAAAATACTATAGGGGCAACCGCCCCCCCCCCCGTGACGCCGCGCCTGCATGCAACCATCAAAGCCCGTGTCCTAGGACTCGTTGTCAGAATCATCATACGTAGTTATAAATAAACATCACAAGTCTAAAACGTCGTAACGTTTGACGTGAGATGTCGTGTCCACGAAAAGATCTTTATTTAGTAGCAATTGTGACCAGTAGGTCACCACGTGTTTGTGTGTGAAACGAGCGCCGGAACATTTGCTGGGAACTTGCGTCTTGTCGCCGGAAAAAGTTTCAGTTAAGTGAAGGCTAGCTTACTCCGCTGACCGCCACCGGCTAGATGATTAACGGCTAACCTCAACTGCTTCGCCATGCACAATGACAGCCAACACGGACCTTACCGCTTTCTCTCGCTAAAAGTCGTGAATACTGGCTTGCGAGTGCTAAAGACCACGTTTGTTATCCACCTCTAACAGTTATACCTGCTAGAAAAATAATAGATACAATAATGTAACCCAAACCCAAGAGGATACACCCTAAAATGTTCCACCCTGGAATAAAAGAAATAGCTACATGTTAGCCATCGTGTTAACTCCTAATATAGAACCACAGTAAATATATAATAAACCAGAAGTTCGAAATAGACAGAATGTCCTAATAAGTAATTGCCAATAAGAAGTATTCCTAAATGGCATATGAAGTTGATACCAACATAGACTATATATTACTACGACCATCTGAAATTAACAATACTACACACAGATTTCTTACCGTAGCAAAAATTATTATCACATCTTAAAAAGATGCCTATTCTTTAGAACATAATACATACAGATCTTCACTTACCGATAAAAAAATATTAGTTTTTCAGGGTTTCTTCCGAGGGAAAATTAGACAATGGAGGTAATGGCCAGTTTGGGGAAAAAATGCGTATGATGGATTTAAAGACGTGGTCGACTGATTTGAATGGTAAAAATTGTTATAGGAGCATTTTCACAACGGCGATGTTAAATTTGACAACGGCGGTGCGCCACTGTACCTCTTATGTATAAGAAACCCTGTTTTTTAATGATTCTGCTATTTTCTACCTGGTCTGCACAACTGTGCGTTAGATTATACATTCATGGATTGCAACCATTCTACGACACAACCAGGCACGAACACATCGACATAATCACAAAAATACAATGAGCGCATAGATCCGTCGACGACCAGAGTCGGGGGCTTACGTCGAAGCCGCCGCCCGTCGTCACGTTGTCGGTCGGCGACGGGCAATCGTCCGTCTGGTTGATCACGGGATCCGCCTCCAGCATGGTGACGTTCACCATGGCGAGCAGAGCGACGCTGAGGTTGACGCGCAGCGCGTAGACGTTGAAGAAGCCGAGGAACATCATCACGGCTAACGTGTGACGCGCGCTCAGCACGCCGCTCTCGGGCTTCTCGCGACTGCCACTCCGCGGGACGCCTGCCGAAGAAGAAGTAAAACTTTGACGCTGCAATACGTGGCGTGGAACAAAGTATTATTTACCCTATCCTTTTGGGTTTGGGTTACATTATTGTATCTAGAAAAATAACAGCTAGGGTCTGACAGATAAAGGCATGCGGACAACAGACACGTGACGCCGACACACACGCATCACACACGCACACGCCCCGCACACACACACACACACACCGGCACACGCACACGCACACAATCAATTAAAAGATAGCTTTATTTAAGCAAAAAAGAAGAAAAGCTTTATTAAACATTAAAAGTTTTTAACAAACATGATCAAGGACTTGTCTTTTGGTATAATGTAAGTAAAGTTGTTGTGGTCTTAATAGTGTAGCGCTTGTGTAGACCGAGTTAATGTCCTGCAATGATTATCCTCTCCAACATTAACACAATACGGAGGTAGTTATGTCTGACGGATACTATGTGGGCAGTGTCAAAACCAAACAAAGCACACTGTCAATTTCATGTATGTCTCTTAAGGCTACACTAGTATGCTTGCAATCAGACAGGACCTGGTCTGTATGTACTAGTCTATCTTTTTTTTTTTTGGTTATATTTTTTAATGTTTCGTTTGTTTTCTAATCGATTATCGAATTGAAGAACTATATCGATTGATTTTTCGAATTTATATCGATATTCATTTCGGACATCACTTATCTATATATGCAGATATCAAAGAGCATATTAGGGTCCAGGCTTATCAGTTGTGCCAAATGCACATTTCACTGGTATTCATAGATTAAGATAGGGGAATATTCCCCCTAACCTTGCTATCACCTTTGGGCCCTTGCCCCCCGGCCCCCTATTAACAACATCTCTCACGTATCTTTCCACGGTGACGGCGCATTGCCCATTCCTGCGATACTGCAATGTATAGGGTGGCGCATATTGCCCAATTTTAATGTAAAAACTTGGGGGTACAGCGCAATACATATCATTGAACTCTGACCTCATTATCAGCCGACATTGCGGCCCAGGATATAAGAGTGTCACATCTGCACATTTGCACAAGGTCGGCACATGGAGATATAATGAATGTGAGCTCCACTTATAGCTTAATTTAGTTTTATCATTATCCATGAATGGGAATCATAAAGAGCGAGCAATATCCTCTGCCGCATGAGGTATATAATTAATATTTCTATATTAGTTTTAGTTGGCGTTTCGATGTAGCGGGAAGCAGGAAATGCAGCAGATGAATATGTCACTTTTGTGTGAGCGCCATGGCCGTTATACGTGGTTGGCCCTTTTGCCTGTTCGAAGCCGATCTGGAATAATAAACATAGTCACGAAACTGCGGGTACGCAGACCCCCGCTAAGTATGGAATAAAACCCGCCACTGCTAAGGATTAGCAGAAGCGGGCAGCGAGTGTAATATGGTTTTACGTCTGCATTTGGGGACGTAGTATGAACCTAGTCTGAGTACTATATAGCTCTGCTTGGTACATTAAATGCCGCTGGGGCTGACCTCCGTCGCGGCGCCAGACTGTGCCTAGCAGGCAGTTTAAGATGTTATGCCCAGCGGGCGTATAGCTTGCCGTGCAGCTGGTCTTCGTTATATTCTGACAGAGTGCGGCTCATGGGTTCTTCGCTTGATTCCTATAAGAGATGCCCCCGCCAGCGAGTTGGTGACTTTTTGCGCTTCTCGGCTGGCTATACTCCAAGTCATAGACAGGGGTTCAGCGTTTAGCACGTTGTTAGGTGATCTAGGATTAGGGTTAGTGTTTTCAGGGCTTGCTTTAGTGTGGTTGTTGGTTATTCGGTTTTAGGGTTAGGTAGTCTAGCGGACAGTTCAGCAGTTTGTTTAAGAACTGCCGTTTAGGGCATTTAGTGGCGAGGGTAATAAAACGAAGACGTGGCCGGGCTGCCTGGAGTAAGCCACAGCGGCGTTATGCGAAGACTAGAGGCTTAGTAATGAATTATACCTTAGTCGTACTGGGGGCGAGTTTTATGCTATTGCTCTTTAGCCTCCAGATTTCTCGTGTCTGCTGCATGGATGGTGTACTCTTGGCGATGTCTATGTTCGCCGCCCTGGGGACTTTATTATGACTCACTTAGAATATGCTCATGATGTTACGTGAACAATAAAAGTAGCAGAGAGTTCTTGAAAGAGTCTGAATTCTTCTTTAAAATACAGATAATTACTCGCTCCAAAAACGGTTATTGCTAGGGTTAGAATACGATATCTATTTAAATTACGCGAGTTGTAAAACCGTTAATTATTCTCATTTACTTTCGTCCTTAGCAGCTTGTAGACGGTCTCTGTTATACTCTGAATCGTTCAATGAAACATATGTGCATCACAAGAAATGCTAGATGCACGCACTAATCTCCTATAATTGCTATATTATACAACTAAATATACTATTCTTATTTCTACGCGCCCGGGTGTCAGGCGGTCATCGTGGTTTAGAGTAAACTGCATGCGCGACCCCTTCGTATACTACTTGGGCCTTGACTTCGATTGGCTTCGTATACAAACTCTTGGTGAACATATAGAATAGTATTTACATTATAAGGTAATAATACATACATACAATATTGGTACATACAATATACTACACTATAAGATTAATAATATACGTATATTATTACTTGATGTAATTAATATGACTATAATATAATCTTATATGAATAGTGACTGTCTTAATAATACTATATAAGTCTAATGATATATATGTATATGATAATATATATAATCTATAGTATGCATATATACTGAATACAATATTAATATACATTTATGCATGTAATATATTATTGAGTTACAAATATATTTCATAGCTCATATGTTTATATATCTCTTATTGATTCTTTCGAATCCTCTGTTTGT